TTAAAAAACTTGGATTCTAAGGATGGAACTCAGGTCTTCATGACTTCAAGGCAAACACATTACCAACTGAGCCATCTCCATATCTGCTGCCAAGATTTAAAAAAATATTTTATGTATTTTTATTTTATGTGTATGATTGTTATGCCTGCATGTAGGGAAGCGCACCCATGTCGTGCAATGTCCATGGAGGACAGAAGAGGCTGTCGGATCCCCTGGAACTGGAGTTACAGACAGTTGTTAGCTGTCATGTGGGTGCTGGGATTCAAACTCAGGTCTTCTGCAAGAACAGTGTTCTTAACTGCTGATCTATCTCTCCAGCCCCCCAGGGTATTTTTTAAATGTGGCAGAATACACAACTAACTCTGAAAAGGAGCCCTCTTAATTTTTACTCTATTTTAAAAATGACAAAAGGTAATTAAGTGTTAGAAAGGATTTGAAGAAAACAAAGGTTTGTGCCCTGTTTATGATACTATGTATTAGTATATACATTTTGGAAGAAAGTGTAGCTCTTCTCCTAAAATGTAAAAAATAAGCCTATCCTGTGATCCGGCAATTGCACTGCTAAGTACAAATTCAAACCAAATGAAATCATATTTCACAGAAATATTTACACAAATACATACTTTAGAATTTCATACATGAGTACTCTATTTACATTATTTCTACCTCTCTCTTCACCCCCAACTTCGCTCATGTCCCCCTCAAATTCATGACCTCTTCTCTTATTATTATTGTTGTTGTTGTTGTTGTTGTTAGATAATGCACACACACACACACACACACACACACTACCTACTAAGTCCATTTACTGTTGTTCATACGTACACATGTTTAGGGTCAGCCACTTGGGATTGGGTAAGCTCTCAGGGTACCCATCTCTGGAGAAAACTAATTTCCCCTCCCTCAGCAGCCATTGACTGCCTGTAGCTGTTCATCTAGGGTTGGAACCTTGAGAAATTTTCCTCATCCACACTGGCATATTGACAAATATTGTCATTATGCAGATCTTTAGGCAACTATATTCAGGAGATTTCATGGGTGCATCCTCCCTGTCATGCCTAGAAAGTACTCACTAGCAACAGGGTTCATGGTCCTTTAGTTCTTACAATCTTTCACCCTCTCTTCCATGATGTTCCCTGAACCTTAGGTGTAGGGGTTTTGTTGTAGATGTATCAAATGGAGATGGGCATTCCACGACAACTTATCCTCTGTATTTTGACCAGTAATGGATCTTTGTAGTAGTCTCCATCTGCTGCAAGAAAGTTCTTTGACAAGGGGTGAAAGCCAAACTTACCTGTGGGTATAAGGAGAAGTATTTAAAATACATTTAGAATTGCATTGATTTAGGAAAGTGGTAATAATAGGTTATCCTCTAGAGTCTATGACCTCTCCAGCCATGGGTGTTTGGTTATGTTTACAATACAGGCATATCCAATTAGACAGATGTTGGTTACTACTATGATAAAAGTGCCACTGTTCCACTGTTGGGGATATCTTTCCAGGTTGGTCATTGTTGGGGCTCATAGGCTTTACATCTGGGTAGGACTACTTGTCACTTTTCTGGCTTGACAGCTTACATAGCATTTCACAATACTATGAGAGCTAATACTCAGGGAGAAGACCCCAGTGTCATTTCCTGCTCGATTCCTCCATGTCCTCTTGTTTGAAGTGTATGGTATCTTCAGCAACAGAGTCTTATCTTCAGGTTCTGGGAGGCAACCAAAGCAATGAAATAGCCAATATTGTTTGGGGAGTCTCCTAGACTGCACTGACTAGAAACACGAAGGGATATTTCCTTTACTTGGCTCTAGGACTTTGTTAGACTGTCTCTGACTTTTCTGGGAAGTGTTACCACCCTATGTGGCATAACTCCTTATTTTATTTATTATTATTGTGTTATGTGATGAGCATAAGTGTATGCACACCATGGCATGTGTGTGGAGGTTAGAAGAAAACTTTTAGAAGTCAGTTCTTTCCTTCCACTGTGGTTCCAGGGATCAAACTCGGAGATCAGCAAGCTTGCACAACAGGTGCTTCTATTCACTGAGACTTCATGTTGGTCCAGTTCATTATACTTTAAAGGCTTCTTTCTAAAGAACTATCACTTCACATAGGGCAAGATTATTATTAGAGACTGTTCACCACTGTTGCCATAAATATTATGCTAAAACCTTTTTACATTTCCAAATGGAAAAAATAGTCTGGAATATTATAGTCAGTAAAATCAAAGATACCAGAAGCAGACGGCCTCCATGTAGACCCAGCTCTACCAATTGCCTTTTTGTTATTTTCATTATGCTATTAAACTTTCAGTGTGTCAGCACCTTGGTTCGCTTGCTGTAAATGAGTACAGCTTATTATCACATTCATATCTGGGTTTAGGATCACATGAGCATGCAGTATTAACCATATCTGGAAAATGAATGCATCTTTTTAGTGTTATTATGGCTACTGTAATCTTGAAACATTTATGTATGTGTTTATGAGAAACAGTTCATGTCTTGAAATAAATTAATTCCAGAGGAAGACATAGACTTTCCACTTTGCCAAGGCCTCAAGTTCACAAAAGAACCTGGGTTTGTGGACTGGAGAAGTGGAAAGTAGAAAAATTGGGATTTTTACAGAAAGAGAAAAAAGTTGAGGAGAAAGGGGAGATGGGGTGAGGACTTAAGAGGCAGTGGCTGTCTGTGTTGGAGGTCTGAGCTACCAAAGACAGTGATTACCAAGCAGCAGATAAGGGTTAAATGTTATTCTGAGATACTTCTTAACTCAAAGGGAAATGCAGATCTTGGTGTGGCTGGTACCGTGCTGAGGATCACACCCCAGGTCCTTCTGTATGGGACTTCTACTACTTTCTAGCCACATCTTTGCTCCTCCACCTTTCTGAAACCTTTGCCTCTACAAACGATATTCTTTATGTAATGTCAACATTGTATATGTAGTGCTTAATTTTTCTCCTGCTTCTTCTTGGATAGCCATATACATTCAAGATTAATCTGGTGTTATTTCATTACCTTACCTGTAAAGCCATAACTTGCTACCTTTGAAAGGTTACAATGAACATTCATTCAGTTTTCATTAGTTTTGTAATCATCTGTGTCGTACCAGCAGCATGCCATCATCTTATCATAGTCATTTCAAGGTATTTCCAACTTTACTAGAGGAAAAGTTCATTCAATACAGTTTTGTAATCATTGTGTCTCAGTAAATGATACAAAGCCAAACACATACGGACATCAAGAAAGCCAGTGGCCAATAGTGATATGTTTGTGAGAAGTCAACGAAAGCTCACCCATGGAACTAATTATTTACTGCCTTTGCATTGGGGAGATTTCTCCTCAGACTACAGCATTCAGAATAAATGAGAGTTAAAATCAATAACTAACAAACAATAACATAATTTATTAAATGGTTAGACTATATCAGAAACAATGCTGTATTCTTTTAGTTTTAGAATTGGTATATTTAATTTTGATACATCTTTGTGGTAAATTTTCTTGGTCATATTTGAAAAAATATGGATGTTTACAGAGAAACAGAGATTCACTAGCATGCTTATATCAAATCTTTAGAAATAAAGAAGAATTTAAGACTTGGGAACAGCTGAATTCAAAACCAATAGAGTATGTCCCCAAACTGTTCCCTACTGGTGTCTCTTTCCTCCACACGCATCCATTATCTCTTCTTTTTCATTTGTGTATCATGTCATTTCCCTGACCAGTTCTATACATAGATCCTGAGACATGGAATCATCTCTCATAGTAAATCCAGCTTGTGGCTAATGATATTTGCCAAGTAGTGTCTCAAAAATGAGTGAATGAGTGTGGATTAGATACTTTACTGTTGCTGTGATAAGACTCTGACCAAAGCAACTTATAGAAGAAAGTTTATTTGAGCTTCCAGTTCCAGGGATAAGGGTCCATAACGGTGGGGGTGGCATGGCGGGAAAAGGTGGTCAGAGCAGAAAGTAGAGGGACCACATCTCCAAGCAGGCACAGGAAGCAGAGAGTGTCAGGAAACCTGACAAGGCTTAAGAACTCTCAAAGCCCACCCCCAGTGATACCCTTCCTCCAGGAAGGCCACACCTCCACAAACAGCGCCACACACTGGGGACCAAGTGTCCAAATACCTGGAGTCTATGGGGGAAATTTTTATTCAAACCATCACAGAGTGAATGAATTAAAATCTGTTAAGTAAAATAGTAACCTGATGATATTTACTTTCTTGATCAATAACATAATTACAACTAGATCCATTTTCTGTGGAGGTGATAAACTGAATATTCAGAATAAAACAGAATACTCTAGACATTCTAGGAAGAACATATTTTTAAAGCTAAGAAATAGTTTGACTATAGGATATTTGAAAAAATATCAAGCTATAGCTTGTCTTACAAAATATTGTAGCACTGGGTCCATGTTTTCCTTAGCAACAATTTACTTGATCTAAGTACAATTTATCAGTTACGGAGTGAACAGGATAGATTCACATTACTGCAAGCTTATCTTTTAAAAAAATTTTATAGACCTTTTTAAATTTCATACAACAGTTCTTAATAAAATTTAGACCCCTCCATCCATGCTCCCCTACCCCCTACCAGTCCTCATGTATTCCGTCATATACGTTAAGTCCCATCCAGTCAAGCAAGTGTACCCAGATGTCCTTCAGTACAAGCTTATCTTTTTAAGACACAACACACAGATTGACACTGGGCCTCTGTTCCCCTTTTTATTAGTTATAATCACATAAGATGTGATTTTATAAACATCATACAAAAACAAAATCTACAAAGATCAAGTACATTTCATTTTAAATTCTTCATTCTGCACTTCGGTAGAACGTCCCTCAGAGGGAATATTTCATAATCTCCACTTGCAAAAAGTTCAGAAAATTTTCATGTTCAATGACTTAATACTATTACATTCGCTGTTCATCACTCTCTTCTCCACTGTTTTCTTCCCATCGCAAGCAACTGTATTTGATCTTAAAATGAATTTGTTTTAGGTAGTACCAGTTTTGTCTCCAAGTAAAAATTTGATTACACCTTCCCGAATCTGCTTGGTCTTGATGCCATAAACAATTGGGTTCATGGTAGGGGGTAAAAGCAGATAAAGATTGGCTACTATGATGTGTACGTGATGGGGAATAGTGTGTCCTCCAAAACGGTGAGTGAAGAAAGTGAAGAAAGCAGGTACATAAGTGATCACAATAGCACAGATGTGAGACGTGCAGGTGCTGAAGGCTTTGTGCCGGGCCTCTGCTGAAGACAGACTTACTACAGCACTCAGTATCATAGTGTAAGACACAGAGATACAGCAGATGTCAAACACACCAATCAGAAGAGCAACCATGAGACCATAGATTGCATTGACCTTGGCATTGCCACAGGATACCTTGGCCACAGACATGTGGTCACAATAGGTGTGCGGGATGATGTTGCCGTGGCGATAGGGCAGGCGCTTGGTGAGGACAGTGAATGGGAAGATGAGCACCACGCTTCTCAAGAACGTAGCAAGACCAACCTTGGCAATCACGGGGTTGGTGAGGATGGTGGTGTAGCGTAAGGGATAGCATATGGCCACATAGCGGTCCAGGGCCATGAGCATGAGCACGCCAGACTCCATTCCAGTCAACATGTGCACAAAGAACATCTGGACCAGGCAGGCATTGAATTCAATCTCCTTGAGGTTGAACCAGAATATACACAGCATGTTGGGCACAGTGGTGGTGCACAAGGTGATGTCGGTGAAGGAGAGCAGGGCCAGGAAGTAGTACATGGGCCGGTGCAGAGCCTCCTCATGGCCAATGAGGTAGATAAGCCCACAGTTCCCCACAACGGCAATCATGTACATGAAGCAGAATGGCAGGGAGATCCAGACATGTGCAGCTTCCAACCCAGGTATACCACTCAAGATAAAGAATTCCGGGGTCAGGCTGGAGCTGTTGGCTCCAGACATAATGGCTGGCAGGATGAGAGCATTTTACACTCCTTAACAGTGTCAGTTTCCTGGACCAGAATGCAAATCAAAGATAAGTAGAGGGCTTGGAAAACAAATGATACCCTTGAAATGAAAAACGATTGCATGGCTTTAGACACTCTCTCCAGCTTGATAATGTAGCTCCATTTTTCACTTCACATGGTCTATTATGCTGGCAGGTTGATTAACTAATTTATGGCTCAGTTTTTTTCTTTATGATGTAAGAATAATTGTATCAAGTGCAGAATGTTGACAGGATTATCCAAAAAATAATTTTATACAATAAATATTTGGTAACAACAATCAGTGTTCACTATTGTTCTTATCATGACATTCTATCACATTTTAATTTTGAGGCAAGATCTCTAGCTCAGGCTTGCCTTTAACTTGCTATGTAGCCAAGAATGATTTTGAACTTCTGATCCCCCTGCCTCCCACATCCTCAGTCCTAGGATTACAAGCCTGGTTTACACAGAGCTGAGGATCAAATCCAGGAATTCATGCATATTAGGCAAGCACTGGATCCAAAGAGCTACATTCCCAGCCCAGGTTCATCTCAATTTAGGGCATTCTATGGCACCAAGCTTCCTTGGAATGAATAATGAATATTCAGGTGGAGCTGCTCATCCTGCAGGAGCTCAAATCTCAGTGTGCTTCTACTATAACGGGGTTGGGTGTGGACTGCAGAAAGGAAATTCTAGCCACTATGACCTCCAAGCAGTTAATGTTTGGTCTTGTGCTTTAGATAAGAAAACGATATGAGTGGCTCTTAAATCTGGCTTGAAATCAGGGTAAATTTCATCTGATGAATCCTCCCAAGGCTCCTGCTACTAAGAGATTGATTGAGCAAGTGGTCACTGGAATTTCTGTGAAAAGAATTTGTGTGTTTGGACAGCTGCTTTAAATATCTCTGCCTCTAACATAGCCAGAGGCCACCAAAGCCACCTAATCAAAAGAGCTAAGATAGTTCCTCAGCTAGGGCTAGTGGCTCCTGGGAGAAGGAGGGTCAGGTTTCTTTTATCTTAATATATTTTTTATTGAGTTTTTGTGCATAATAGATCTTAATCAAACTTAGATCCCCTTCCCCAACTACATCCCCCACAACCCCTCCACACCAGATTTCAGGTTTCTTTAAGGATGTGATGCTGAACATGTTATCCAGGTTCAGGTGGATGATCTCACACTGAAGGGTGTTTAGGGACACAGGTTTGACTCAGTAGGTAGATATATATAGCACATAGAAATCAGGCAGAGAGTATTGGGGAGTGTAGATGGGGAGATAATCTAAATATGATGAATATACAGTGTATGAAATTTGTAAAAATTCAATAAAAATGTAAAAAGCCTACAGAGTGAACAAGAGAGAGAGAGACAGAGAGAGACAGAGATAGAGAGACCGAGAAATCAAGTTCTTTAAAAATGTGGCCAGGATATTTGGAGAGGGATGAACTGCTGGGTCAGTGTTGCTGCTTGTAAATTAAAACCGATCAACAGCCATGGGAACCCCCGTTGTCTTACAAGCTCAATATATTACAAGAGTCAACCCACATTGTTTATTAAATTGCAAACAGATAAAACAAAGCCAGCTCCTCCTTTTCCTTCCTCATACAGATACTTCTGTCTAAAATATCCCATTTCAGATTTTAGCATTCTCAATGATCGACAATTATTTTGGCACTATTTACAGTGCTAGAATATGTTCCAAAGAAGAAAACGTTGGTGGGTAAGTCTGTTCTTTGAAAATATAAGAGCTTATTTCAGACTTAACAATTGCAACACAGGGGCTCACTTCTCTATATTAAAGCTTCTTTGCAACACAAGATAGCAGGACATATCTGGACTTGAGCAAATGAATGTTTCTTTGCATAATTTTTAGGACCCTTCAAGGGGAGAAGTTCAATAGTACTGCACACAACATTGATGTGTTCACTCAGCAAAATGAGCATCCATTCAGTATCTGGAATTAAGTAAGTAATATCTATTAGGTTTTACAATAAGTGTAAGACTATATGATAAGGCATATATTAATTGTTGGGCAGATATTTTGATTGCCTTAAACATTTCTGACACCACTGTAGTAAAGATAATGCTCTCTTGCTCATGTTTGACTGAATTGCTGTATTCTAGCCACTTTATTGTTGGCCATTGCTCTGTAAATATTCAGCTGTAACTGAGTATGAGCGTAGAAGCAGAGCCGCCTGTGGTTTTCGCACCATTCATTATTTCTTATCATTTAAGAAAATAGTCAAAACTTCCTACATTCAGGCTACTAATATTCCAATGCAGGTTGATTTCTGTACTCAAACCTAAAAAGCATGAATACGTGTCATATCCTCCTTGTATTAATGAGGAAATGTTGTAGGTAACTCAAAATACCTAATATCACAAAATTTAAAGGGGTAGAGGCAAAGTTCAATTCAAGTTGAGTTTTCAACCACACAGTCAATCTATATTAATTATCATAACAGCCAGTCTGTATCAATTACCATAACAGACTGAGCCTAATGCTGAGGAACAGCGTCATAAGCAGGGTGTAACTAGCTTAGCAAGTCATGAGGATGTAAGAAGAACTCGATTTTCAAGTGCAAGAGAGAGAAATATTATCATTGGTTGTGTCTTAGGGAAGATATAGAACAAATGTGGGAAGCTGAGGAGTCAGTCTCTCATGAGGAGAACTCTCCACACAGAGGTTATCTGTGAGACAGCAGCAATCTCATCCTGGGTCTCCTTTACCTCCAATGCTGTGTGGCATCTGGTTCCATGGGAGTTTTGCATGAGAGGATTTCTGCATAGGAGTTTCTTCCTACAAGTCTTCTCAACACCTTTTAGTATTCAACTCTTGCTTTGCATTATTTCCCTCCTCCCTCACAAAGATCAATCCCACTGGAAGCAAATCTGTGCATAGCTATCCACTGGACACACACACACACACACACACACACACACACACACACACACACACAAAGTTTCCCTTCCACTGAAACCCATGACTGCCTGAACTTCATGGTCCAATGAATTATGAAGTAGTTTTACTCCTGCTTCCCAAATATGGGAGACTTCCTCACTTCTTCTTCCACAAATGATTGTAGAAGTCAACAAAATTTCTATGAACCACATCTGAAACACTTATGCTACTTGGACTTAAAGCTGTTCATTTTCTGAAAATAAAGTCATTGAAGTCACCCCAACTCACCTCAGTGTTAGCAAAGACCAGACTCACACACATGGCTAAGAGTCCCAAGTATCAAGAGTTCTACCGCTCCCCAGCAAAGCTGAACCTTTAAAGCATTCACCAATGTGAACTGTGTGAACCTGATTGGGTCTTGAAGTTCAGTGTCTCAGAAGGCTGGGGTTGGAAAGATTAGATCTTCTGGGAATTTTAAGATAATTTCTGGATTTATTCAATCTTTAAGCACAGGTGAAACTAGAGAAAAATAATACCAAAGTTATGATCTCACAGATGCGGATTCTGAAATTTCTGACACCACTATTTTTTTATTTCATTTACCTTTGCCAAATTCAGCCTCTCTATAGCCCATTGCCCACTACATACATATGCATATAAACCTGTGCATGTATGTGTGAGCACACACACACACATATACACATACATTTATAGTTTTGAAAAAGAAACACAAAAAGAGAAAAAAATAATCAAATAAACCATATAAATATAGAATATATATAGAAATGTTTCCTGTTTAGCTTAGGTCTATTTTGTTTATTGATTAAATTAATGAATACATAGGTTTTTATGGTTTGAAAATTTTATACATGTATATAATGTGTTTTAATCCAATCCACCCCCCATGCCGTCCCCTTCAATTCCTTCCCCATATTTCCCACCACTATTCCATCCTAATTCCATATTTTTAAAACCCAATAAGTCCATTTACTGTTGCTTTTATGTGAAAGACTGTAGCACCATGTACCAGAGAGCAAGTAACCTCTTGGGGTCCACAGTCCTGAAGAAAACTGCCACTTCTTCCAGCAGCCAACAATTTCCCATAGTTCCTCAGCTAGGGGTGGAACTCTTTGACCCTCTCCTCTTTCCAATCTGGCATTTTGATTGACTTTATCTTACACAGTCCAAGGTTCCTGCCAAACACAGAACTAATGTTGAAAGTCATCTTTCAGTCTTTATTGAGAGCGTATCAATACCATCCTGTGCTCATTATGAGCCCAACAAATCAACTGGACAAATGTAGACTGTCACAACTAACTGGCAGGAATTTTTTAAATTATCAATACATCATTTCTATGTTCTGGTAATATTGTCCTCAGATTTTTTTAAATAAATGAAAAAAATTTGTCTATAAATGAGATATATCCATGTTAATATGACCCAAGTGTTAATAGATGGACTATGAATTGATGGTATATTCAGGCAATGGCAAGTGATTCAGAAATAGTAAAATTTTTTATTGTTATGACCTGTATATTGGTGAAAGTTGGATATTGAAGACATTCACCACTTTTTGTATTGAAGTAAGTCTGTGTCTTTAGTAGTGTTTGCTTTATGAAATTGGGTGCAGTCATGTTTGGTGTGTATATATTTAAAATAGTGATGTCTTCTTGATAGACTGTTCCTTTAATGAAAGTAAAGTGCACATCTTTATCCTTTACTAGTTTTAGCTTGAAGGCCATTGTGTCAGCTACTAGAACAGTGACATTTGACTGTTTCCTATTTCCATTTGCATGGAATACTTTTTTGCCAACCTTTTACACTAAGGTACCATGTATCTTTGACAGTCAGGTGCATTTCTTGGAAGCAGCATAAAATGGATCTTGTTGTTTAGTTCATTCTCTTGTTTAGTCTGTGTCTTTTGATTGGATAATTAATATTCCAAGTATTATTGAATGGTGTTTATTGATTTTTGTCATTCTGTTGATGCTGCAGTGTTGGTATTTTCCTGTTTCTCATTTGCTTAACTAGTATTCTAGCATGATTTATTCTTTCTTGTAGCCTCCTGGATGTG